TGTTGGTCATACAGCTTCCATTGGAGGGCTGGGTATCATCTTGGCCGTCCAAAAATGCATGTGCTGAAATTCACCCCCTCAAGCAAGTTGATAATCTACTAACCTATTTCCCAACAGAGAGTTGGGACTAATTCATTGAATGCGTGTGGGCACTTGCTCATGATCCTCTAACTTGTTTTTTTTCACTGGATTTTTTTCCTGTCTTGCCCCCTTCCCCTCTCCTTTTTTTTTTTTTTTTCCCTTTCTGGACAAGCTGCCTACTACATTCAGCACAGACAACAATTTATCTTCCCAGGTGAGTTGATTCTACTAACAGCTTGTGCTGCCTGTTTGTAACCTGTGAACTTGTGCTTGTTTGCTGCCCTTCTTTCTAAACCAGCGCGTGCTGCCTGAGAATGATGATTCTGCTTTTCAAGCAAAAATGGCACTAAAGCAAAGCCTCCTCTCATCTCAGCACAGAAATCACACAATTCAGACCTCCTTCTCCTAATATAGTGTGATTTATGTACTAGGATAAAACTGCTAATACTCAGCAGTATAATATCAGATTTCTGCTGGGGGATTCTGCACACAATCATGTTCTTCCTTTCAAAAGCAAACCTTCCTGCCTCTACAGGGATATGTTATTTATCTAGTACAAACAACCACTCTTTCATTTCAGGAATACTGAGCTAACCTACATAAACTAAAATTCTTGCCTATGGGATTTAAGAATGATGCAACTCTATTCATTTAGACAGGTAGAAGCCATATGAAAATGTGTTTAAAGTGGCAGCCTTCATGCTTTTCAGTGTGAACTACCAAAAAAACAGCAGTCGAGTGTGAGCTTCCTTCGAAGTGTCAGAACTTCCCATGCGCGGGGATACGGTCACAGCAGATGCGCGACTGCAGCACAAATGCTGTCCCCGTTCTCTGAGGATTTGAATATTCCTGGCTGGCTGAGGCAATTCCAAGGAGTGTGAGCAGAATACAGACAAGGAGTGATCCTGCAAGATGTTACAGATAAGGCAGTGAATGGGAAGAGGATTGGGCTTGGTCAGTACACAGACATGTAGGTACTGTGGAAGATAAGCACAGTTTTAAATAAATAAAGATATAAAATCCTATAGTCTGCAGTTCAGTTTACTTCGTAATTCCTGCATAATAAGCAAATAATCATTATTACGAGTGTTACAACTTCAGACCTATAAGGGGGTATAAAATATATATCACAAATGCTTTTATTTTCTCAGAAATTCCCAGTCCTGCACAAGTAGCACAGCATCCAGAAATATCTGAAAACACTAAGTAAGTATTATTAATTCTTTTATTTTGCTGACAATCTTCAGATCACTGCATGGAAGCAGTATGTTTTGGTCAAACCCTCCGTAACCTGATGAACTTCCCCTCTGAACACTCAAGGGTTTATGTTAGTCAGCAGGGATGATACTGCTCTTGGCAGTTTTATAAACCTGAGTGTGATATTTCCTCCAAATGAGGGAACAAGAAATTGATGCCTTTAATATGTGGTTCTGCTTGTGTGCGAGTTCCCCAGCTCAGAAGCATGCAGTGAAATAGAAGTTACAGGTTTTTACAGTTTAAAGAGCTCTGGATACTCAGCTGGAAGCAGACACCTAAAACATTCTGAATTGCAGGACATGCAGAAGTTTTCAAGTCTCCCTCGCTAGCACTCACAAACACTGAGCCCGCTGTAGGTACTGCAGAGCGTTGCTGGTGGTGCTGTAGCCCCACTGCCCTCCTTGTCTCCATGTCAGGTCTTTGTCCTTCATTTTGCAAAGCAGGCTGAGAAACCCTTCCGTGAGGCACAGCACTCGTATTTTTCTCCAATTTCCTGTGCTGCTCTCTGCTCCCTCGCGGTCTGCTGCGGGGACGTGCAGCAGCTCGGGTGGATTCGCGGGTATTGCTCTTACTGTAACCCTGTCTTCCTTCCCATGCTAGTGCTGCCGACGCGCCGGGCACGGATGGAGCTCCTGGTGAAGCAGAGGTAGGTTTTCTGCTCTGCCCTTTCGTGCAACCACAACTGCTGTGCTACAAGCTCAGTAAGAAAGCTGTGGCCGTGAAATACTCTGTGGATTCCCAGAGCTGGGGCTCCCTGCCAGGGCAGACTGTGCCCTGTCAGCGCTGCAGGGATCAGCTGAACGCTCGGGATAGACGAAAAGAGGCTGAAACAAGGAAGGAATTTTAATAATCACCTTTTTTCTCATTGTGCCTGCATGATATTTTTTAAACTTTTAGCTCACACAGTTTGGTACAGCCATTTGAAACCTTACAAGAGCTCTAGGTCTGTTATTGCAGTTATTTGGCAGGCTTCAGCTCTGCAAGTTGTGTGTGTGCAGGGGCTGTCAGTGGTCACGCTCATGGTGCTTCCTAGCCTGCAGGTGCTGAAAGGGCTTATAAATAAGGAAAGCTGGTTGTAGCTTTCCACAAGACTGTCCACACTGCAGTCGGACAAGTGTTAGGCACTGCTGGAATCGAACACGGAACGGGGTTTGTTAGGATGGGTGGACCAAGAAAGATGGATCCATGTTTTCAGCAGAAATTACTGAATTTTCAATCACGTCCAAAGGAAGAAGGGTAATAATCCTAAGAAAAGTTGGGGGTTAGTTGAAGAATGAAGAGGCTCTTGACTCTTCCTTTTGAAGTGATCAATAGCATTGCCACACAGACATGTCTACAGCCAACCCATTAAAATCCCTCTCTCAAAACAGTCTTGGCATTGTGTGCTGGGCTGATCCTGCCCCTCAGACAGCACTCCGATGTATTTTTCCCTCCTATTACTTCTGAACAGGTGGAAGAAGCAGAGACAAATAAATCAGAACCTGAAGATGATGAGGATGAGGTGGAAGACTTGCCAAACAGACGGCCACACTTGCAAGGGATGATCTATCGCAAACCCAGCCAGACCAGCGTCTACCTGCAAGAGTGGGACATTCCCTTCGAACAGGTTGAGCTGGGGGACCCGATCGGTCAGGGACGCTGGGGGAAGGTTTACAAGGGCAAGTGGCACGGAGAAGTGGCTATCAGGCTGCTGGAGATAGATGGAAACAACCAGGACCATCTCAAGCTCTTTAAAAAGGAGGTGATGAACTATAGGCAGACCCGACACGAGAACGTGGTACTTTTCATGGGAGCGTGCATGAACCCTCCTCATTTAGCAATCATTACCAGGTGAGGACATCGTTTCTTCTCGCTATTACTGTATCTAAACCTCTTGCTGCAGTCAGGAGGTGGCAGATGTGAACACAGTCCGGGCTCAAAGGCTCCCGCTGTAGAGCACGGAAAGGACAGGCTTGCCAATGAACCCTTTCAAAACATGTTTCCCTGACCAAAAAGGGTGGAGAAAGGATAGATTCAAGGGTTTGTAGGTGCTGCATGCCTCCGTTCGGAGCCCTGCCCGCTCAGGGAGATGACAAGAGATGTGGTGCTAGCAGCTCTTGAGCTTCTGCCCTCTCCCCATTTCGCAGGTTCGACGAGGGGGGTGTTGGGGGGTGAATCAGGGACGTTTCCCGCAGAGCGTCCCCGAGCGGCCTGGGGACGCCGGGCAGTGGCCCCAGCCATGCGGAGCTCGAGCTCCGCGCGCTCGCAGGGCTCCTGCTCCTGCTCCGTGCGGGTGAGGCTCAGACTGGGGTCCTGAGAAGTGGGGTCCAAAGAAACCCTCTGTATCCTTGAAGACTCCTTTCTGACGAGCGTCCTGTACACACACAGAGCTGTACACCAGTTGGGTCCTTAACATTCTTCAGAAGGGCCTCAGCAGGGAAGAGGGCTGGGATTTCGTCACTGGGACAAGAAACCCAACTGAATATTCAGTGTTAAATTTTTGGTTCTTTGTTTTTTTTTCCCTCCAGTGTTTTGGAAATGTTTTTCAAGAATCTTCTTTCTCTTTGCTGTAGCTTCTGCAAAGGAAGGACCCTGCACTCATTTGTGAGGGACCCCAAGATATCCCTGGATATTAACAAAACCCGGCAGATAGCCCAGGAGATCATTAAGGTAGGAGTGTGCTGTGCTGCCAGGAGGCTGCAGAGGTTTCTGCTGTGTATAACTACCTGCCACTACGGTAACACAGCCTGAATTAGAGACCCTTCTCTCCATGGTTTGCACAGTGCTTTCTGTGCTTGATTTGAATATTGCTTAACTAAAACAGCATCTTCAAAGCTGCCGCTTCCTCCTTGGCAGAAACACCCTGTGAATTTAGTCCATTACTGCACAACTTGTGGCAGTTATTCCTTGTTCTCATGCGTACAGACTTCCTGGGAACAGGGAGGCCTCCAGGCACGTAATGCCCGGAGGGCCCCGGCAGCCTCCCAGCTGCCCTGCTGTGCAGAGGATGAAAACCAAGTGGGAAGCGAAGCGCTGAACTAAGACCTGCTTCCTGCCTCCTTGCAGACGCCCTTGCACCCGTGTGACTCAGGCAGCTGCCGCATCCCTGCGTGCAAGTGCTCACTGGTGTGCAGGCAGAGAGGGAGAGCTCCTGGAAGCAGGCGGAATAAAAATGTACCTCTCTAAATGTAATAAACTTTCTTCCAGGGCATGGGCTATCTTCATGCAAAGGGGATTGTACACAAGGACCTGAAATCCAAGAATGTTTTCTATGACAACGGGAAAGTTGTCATCACTGACTTCGGATTATTTGGAATTTCGGGAGTGGTTCAGGAAGGAAGGTAAGTGGAAATGTCAGGCCCAGGTCCACTGCTAGAGTGAGCGAACAGGGGACTTTAGATGCATTGCATGCTGCAAGCAAGCATGTCTGTTGCTTTTGTACATACACACATTTGGGAATCTGCACTTTCCTCTCTCGTCCTGCTCACACTTCAGCAGTGCAGGACTAGAAAGTTACAGGCCAAGATGCACGTTTTTTTTAATAGGGCAATAAACTTGGAAAGAAATGTCAGCCAGAACATTTGAGTAAATAAAGTCAAGGTAGCAGGTGAGGCACACGTATGCGCGCTGCACTGCTCGGAATTGGAAGTAATTTTTCAGAACCGCTTCTCCTTCTTGAACTCAGGAGAGAGAACGAATTGAAGCTGCCTCATGACTGGTTGTGTTACCTGGCCCCTGAAATCGTTCGTGAGATGGCCCCTGGGAAGGACGAAGACAAGCTGCCCTTCTCCAAAGCCGCCGACGTCTACGCGTTTGGGTAAGAAGCGGCCAGGAGTAGCAGGGTAACTCGCTAACGTGTTGGAGCCCTGCGCTGGGCAGGCTCCGGGGGGCTGCCCCCGGCTCCGCACGGAGCTGGGATCGCAGCTGGGATCCTCCTTCCCTCGGGCAGCAGAGCCAGCGGCGGCGGCGCGGCGGGA